AAATGTGATGAAGATAGGCACATGGATTACTTAAAAATTGACGTGTTCTATATGCTGAACTTGCGAAATTAAATTCATAAACAATTATAAGTAGAAATTTTAAGATAATGAGAATAAATGAATTAAGAAAAAATAATCTTATTTTTAAATTTCTAAATTTTATTTAAATAAACTTATTCACAGTTATAATGATGAAGTAAGGCTAAATTGCGTATCTTGTTACTTTGTAGTAAACAGTTCTCTATTTAGTTTTCTATTAATTTTGATAATACTAATTTATCACCAATTACTTAATCTCTATATATATCGATATAACTAATATATATGATATAGTTAGCAGAATTATATAGACAGTTATATAAATTTCAGTTTAATGACAATTAATTAGAAAATTAATTATAAAATATTAATTGTTTATTATCCATAATTTGTATTAATTGTTTTACAATGATTTTCATCCAAAATGAAAATCCAAATTAAGTGAAGAATAAAAAAAATTTGAACCGTTTCTCTGATACTTTAATAATTCGATTATATTTTTTATGATAGTCACATCATAGTTGATTTTTACTAGCAAATCTTCGACGCAAGATTTCGCACTAGACGTCGCGAATTCATCGCGTTTATCTCACTGGATATCACGATTCTCTAAGTATGCCGCATTTCTCTCGCGTTACCCTTACAGCACAGTAACCTCTTTGCGTTTCTCAATATTGAGGATACACGAGAGAATCGATTGCCATGAAGATTTATTTTGGATATTATTCTTACGTCTTAACAAACAACCAGTTGCGTGTCTTTCCTACATAGCTTATTTTTATCTCAAAAGAAATTAGATGATCAGGATTTTATTGTAATTGTGAGGTTCTTCTATAATTCCTTTAATTAAGTGTGTAATTTAATTAAGTGTGCACATTAATTAAGTAATGGAGATAAAGTAAAGAATAATTAATAGTTTTGTTTCATTATTCTTTGATGTGACTGAAAATGCTGATGTCGCGTAGGGCAATAAAGAGACCTCGTCGAGGTCACAGGTTCGTTCATCGCACTCTCAGATGTACACATGTACATATATGGCAGAAATGAAGGGAATCCTAAGTCGTTCTTAGGAGTTAAGGATTTTTGCGCGGTCGCCAGTTACATTGCGCATTCTCGATGCGTGTACCATCCTCTTCACATTCGCTTTTCGTCTCTTTCCGGTATATACGACATTAACTCAATCCTGAAGTCTTGTGATATCGCATCCGTATATAGTTATTGACACTCTGTATGGTGCAGCTGTTGTAGAATAAGTACAATCCATAATTAATTATATGTACACCTCCGTATAAGGTGTACATATAATTAACATCAAAACATTTTTTCAAATATGTAATATTCGTTAAAGAAAAAGAAAAAAATACTTAATATCTCGTGATACGTACATCATATATTTGATTACATTATAATTTATAATTATGCTTAGAAATTATGTGCTGAAATAATGCAATTTTGTATCCTAAAATGTCATACACTATTTTATCTTAAAATATTTTTATTGTAACATTCTGATTATATCTTAAAATGAAATTTCTCAATTATTTAACTTTATATTTGATTTTACATAACGATATAGCAAAGAAGCAAATCGAAATAAATCATCGTACGTATCGCAAGAAGCTGAGATCGATTGAAACAATCGGTCTAATTAGATTTCTAGGATTATTATTATATACTATCATGTTCTTCCTTTCTTCGATGTCTTATATTAGCGCCAGAGAGAATATAACACATACAGTCATAATACATGCGTACATATACACCTTAGCTAATACTCCACACTGTATGTACTTAATTGCTCGTAGAACATAAATCGTCGCAGAACGCTCAACGGAAAAATGAAAAATTTAAAGTATTCGCTTACTCGATCCGAAATATGATCTGAATCGTTTCCTGTGAGCCTTCTCTTATTACACGATTGCTAATTGTCTAGATTTTTTGCTTTAAATCACGCAAATTGCGCCATAAACAGACGAGCCTCTGTTAAAAAAGCTTCCGCGATTATCTCTTTCCTGTATCCAAGTAAAAAGTGATCAACTTTCATCGTTTTTTTTTTGTATAAAGTTTTCAAACAATTTCAATTCTTCACGGATTTTTCACGGACACTTTTAATTAATTGTTTTTATGTATATAAATTTCGAAAACTCTCTTATTGCTGTCAATCAACTATTTTTGTGTAAACTCACTCAAAATATATTAACAGTTATAAATACATAACAATATCTTTTTTCAAAAATTATTGTATATTTTTCTACTAATTAAAAATTTCATTGCTACAAAAAAACACAACGAACTATATCACGACTGTAATTAGGGGTTTAGAAAGTGAAATACCAGTAGACGCTTCTGGCTCCGGAAGCTGGGCAACAGGTAGCAAAACTTCGTAGAAACCAATCTGCCTTGGGGAATTCGAGAAGATGATTGGTTCGTACATGGAAATTTAAATCTCTGATCCTCTGTTTTACGATCGTGTATCACGTTTTCATAAATTTAATGATAGACCGCGCGTAATAAAATAGAATACATGTTTATCACATCCGACAAATAAATCGTGATCGCATCATCAAGATTTACGGCGAGCATTTTTTCCATACGTTTTATAACCCTTCAATTACATCATATTGCCGTTTATGCTTCTCGTAAAAAAGAAAAA